GCCAACCTCCCGAGGCCCCTCCCACCTGCCGGCCCTACCTCAATCGGCCCCCCTTGGGGCAGGCCAACCAGACCCTACCCATGCACGAATTCGTGCACCAGGCCTCTGGTATTTAATAATACCACTGTGCCAACTTTTATAGTTAAGATTCCAGGCAGGCACTGCTCGGTTCTGAGAGAGCCCGCATGACCTAAGATACTGAAATTGTTCCGCCAGGAAAAGCAAAGCAAATATTTTATTTGACTTCTGTGGAAATTAAATAAGTGTGCCTACAACCTCTAATCAGCTAGCCCACATTTCTAGTTAAAAAATAACCTCGTTGAAATGATTCCTGAAACACATGTAAGCCCAAGAGGAGCTAGTGTGATGTTTTCCTGTTAACTGTAGGGCATGTGATCTAATGTGACCAGGAAGAGTGGTGTTTGTTCCATATGGATCTAGGGAGTAAGATCGTCCAGGGAAGGGATTGTACGCCGGCCACCGTGAACTTCACCCTGCTGGCTGCTGGGTAGACCTGTATCCTTCTACCCTGAGCTTTGTTCTGGGACACAGCTACTTACTTGGAAACAGTGGGACCCTCAGGGTCTCGCTGCTAAAGATCAGTAGGTGGAGCCGTGTTAGACGAGGGCTGATTCTTTCCTCACCCCGACTGTTCTGAGTACCCGGCAGTCCCAGGAATCGAGTTTTTCCGGTCTGGCCGGTGAGACCAGTCCTCTTCCTGGCCCAGCCTGGGCTGAGCACTGTTCTCAAAGGCTCTCAGGCGGCTCTTTCCTGGCTTTGCCAAGTGGCTGCACCTGCTTTGCTGATTGGTGCTCTCTCTCCTCTCAGTTTTCTCCTCCCGATCCTCTCTCTCCTCTCTGGTCCACACTCTCCTCCCTGGTCCTCTCTCCTCCCTGGTCCTCTCTCCTCCCTGGTCCTCTCTCTCCTCCCTGGTCCTCTCTCTCCTCCCTGGTCCTCTCCTCTCAGTTTTCTCCTCCCTGGTCCTCACCTCTGGACCTCCAGCCGCCTTGGGCCCCCAGACTGTCCACTCCACCTCCTCAACCCAGGGCTCCCCCTCTGCCTGACGCCCTCAGACCCTACCCAGGCAGTAAGCGGGGCTCCTCGTTTCCCTTCTCTCAGGCACTGCCCTTGCTGCTGATGCCCAGTGTCTTGGGAACGATTAATTCATGTTTTGTCCAGGGCTTGGTTGTTTCAGGAAGGAGGGTCCATCCAGGAGCAGACTGATGTCAGATTAAGTCTGACATTTATATTAATCCTTTAGTTCAGTTTTCCAAACATAGGTGAAGAGCTTCTGATGGTACTGCCTCCACGTGGGTCATTTCTCAGGGAGCAAGTCCATGACTTAGCCTCCCAGGCCCGCACGATTCCTCATCCCTCCCATTGTGAAGGCCGTCGTGTTATTACCTTTTCTTACATTGTAAGCAGCGCTCTGCTCGAGATTGAAACCCACACAGTGTGCAGCTGCTCTACAGTAAAATAACGACCCCCCCCCCAGTTATCTCTGTTCTCCCCCCAACAAATGGTGAAGATGTAATGAAACCGGTGAGGAGGCATTGTAAATGGCAAACAAATGGGAGTTATATGTGAAAAAGCATAAAACTTGTTACAGCCCTTTGTTAATTAACCCCACCTGTAGAATGCCAGGCAGTGGACATAATCTAAGATCCATAAAAAGCTGTATCTCCAACAATGGTAATCACGTTGCTAATTATAATGAAATAAGTTGGAAATAATCTTAATGTCAGCGTAGGTGCCCGATACCCAAAATATATAAAGAGCTCCTACAACCCAACAGCAAAAGAGCCCAAAACCCAAAAAACAACCTGACCACCCAGTTTAAACCAGCGAGCAGAGGATCTGAGCAGTCATTTCTCCAGAGAAGATACACAGGTGGCCAGTAAACCAAAAGGAAAAAGGGGAAATGTGCTCACAAGTCACTGGGGATGCAAGTCCAAACCCCGGGGAGACGCCCCCCGCCCCCCTTCCCGGCTGCTGTGGTTATAAACAACACGGACAGTAACAAGGCTGCGAGGGCGAGGAGAACCCGCAGCTCTGGTGCGCAGCTGGGCGTGGAACAGGGCGCGGCTGCTGTGGACACAGGCAGGCGGTGCCTCCACGTTTAACCATCTGTACGCCATACGCGTCTACAGACACAAGCGGTGGACCTTTTCAATTAAATTCAAAATATCGTGGCAGTTGGCTGGTTACATAGATTATTACCCATAGGACCTAGTCACCCCACTTGTGGGAATACACCCCAAGAACTGACAGCAGGGACTCAGATAGACACTGCACCCACGGTTCAGAGCAGCGCTGCTCACAGCAGTAGCCAAAAGGTGGATACAACCCAATGTCCCTCGACAGATGGGCAAACAAAACTCGTTTTCCACGTGCGATGGAGTATTAGCCTTGAGGGGGAAGGAATCCGGGGACCACTGCAGCGCGGAGGGACTCTGGAGACATTATGCTAGAGGGGAAGGGAGCCGGACACAGAAGGACAGACTGTGTGGTCCACTTCCACGAGGCCCAGAGGCACTCACTTCACAGCGACGGAAAGTAGGATGGGGACCCGGCCGGTGTGGCTCAGTGGTTGAGTGTCGACCTAGGAACCAGGAGGTCACGGTTCGATTCCCAGTCAGGGCACATGCGTGGGTTGCGGGCTCCATCCCCAGTGTGGGTTGTGCAGGAGGCAGCCGATCCATGATTCTCTCTCATCATGGATGTTTCTCTCTCTCTCCTTTCTCTTCCTCTCTGAAATCAATTTAAAAATATATATATTTTTTTAAAATAATGAAAGTAGGATGGGGTTCCCAGGGCCTGGGGCAAGCTCCCGTTAGATGGGGAAGAGGCTCAGTGTGGGGTGAAGTTGTGGAGATGGACGGTGGTGAGGGTTGCACAACAGTGTGAATGTGCCTGATGCCACGAACGATGCACTTACCAATGGGGAACATGGTGGACGCTGTTATGCGGAGGCGAATGAAACCTGTCTCACAGGCAAATGTGTGTGCGTTTGAGGGAGGGACTCCTGCCTGGAAAGGGAGCCTGAGCTGCT